TAGAATTACTTTTTATTTTTTATAAATTTTAAGTATAAATAAAAAAAGCTTGAGATTTTTTTATAGAGTTTTCTTACCTAAAAAATATATTTTGCTGAAGAACTCTTATAATAAATTTAGACTTGATTGAATATATATATGTTTTTTTTTTTAAGTATAGACAAAAGAGATTTGAGAGTTTTTAAAAGAATTTGTCTTGAAAAAAATTTTGTATTTCTAAAAATATTTTTTTAGGATAAGGATTTTAATTTAAAGAAATTTATAGAGGCTGTTAGGCTTTTTTTCAATACTATATGATATTTTTTTATTGATTAATTTTTATTTATGAGATCTTATATTTATAACAACACATCTTAAATATCTTATCTCATGTGTTAACTTTTTACTGGCCCAGAAATACATGAAGATTAATTTAATTTTTATGTCATTTATATCAATTTTATTTTATCATTTCATCTAAAAATAAAATAAAAATAATATATGGCACAATTTAATTGGTAATTTTTATTTTTATTTTTTTTGTGTCTACAGCTGCGTTAATATATCTGCTTACTTGACAGAAAACAAATCTGGAAATGTATAACATGTGATAAATCTATATCAGACAACGCCCATATCTTAAGGGAAGTTTCAATTGATTTCCTCCAATCCCTGAACAAAATTCTATTATACCCAAAAAAACAAAGAACAGAGAAGGCATTCCATTCAATAACAGGTACAATGGACTTGGGGATGCGTTGTGGTTATACATCTCTTCCTTCCTTAATTTATGTTCTTGCAACAAATTTAGTATATCTGAAGTGAGGAATTGGAAAAGAGTTGATCATGAAAACCGGCTTCATTATTGAAATATTTCAAGTCCATACAATCTCACCCCAGCTCTATATATAGCCCATGCATACAGCATAATATCCCAACCTACTAAGCCACACCAAAGCATATATATATTACAGACCATCAGAGTTTTTGAAAGCAAACGAAAAGGAGAAATTAGAGTAGGGAAGATGAAGAGGAGCAAAAAAAAGGGTCGGTCTGCTGCAAGTATCGGAGGCTTGCTGGGACGGATGATTTCTTCAGGCTGCGTAAGTTCCTAAAATAGTCAGAAGGATTTGCTTCAAAGTCATCCCTTAGAATGAGAAAATCCTGCCCTGGTGCTTTCATTGTCCTACCTCCATACCTCTTCTTCTTAAGACATTTGCAGCAGCAACAAATCATCAGGAGGCCTATCACTGCCACTGCAACAACTGCAATCACGTTTTGTTTTGTAAACCACTTGACCACATGTACCATTACATCAGAAGCCAAAAATTTCTTTATCAGATCTGAAAGCATGTGAATGAAATCAGACACTGGATCAGAAGCCAGAAATTTCTTCATAAGATCAGAAGACTGGTGGGAAATTGTGGAAAGAGAAGTTGGTGGTTCCATTGAAAGCGATCTGTACATTAATGAATGGGGAGGGGACTAGTGTTTATAGACAAGGAAGGGAACGAAGGGGATGTATTTAGAGATAAATAAGAAGGGATCACAAAATTTAGGGTGACTTCACATTTAAGAAAATGCTGTGTCATGTAGTGCTCTTTGGGACTGCGAGCATCGTTTTTCTGATGTAAGCATCTGTTCGATTAATTTGATGTGACGCTCCACCATCCACCAACTAGCTTTTGATAAAACAAAGCAAAAGTAAGAAATCAGAACAAAGACAAGAAAAGAAAAGAAAAGAAAAGAAAGCTAAACAGTGAAAGACAAGAAAAGAAAAGAAAAGAAAGCTAAACAGAAACATGATGATGGGAGCATCTATAGTTTTAGCTTTCAGGATCAAAGCATAATTTGCATCAATTTTCACTTGCTCTTTAATTAAAAGCTCGACTGCAAGGAGAGAGTATGATTCAAAAATCAATTTACAAATATGTAGAGATTAAGCAAGCTCTAGACCATAGATTATTGCCCACAACTCAGTTTGAATAGAAGAACAATATCCAATGTTAATAGCGAAGCCTTTAATCCTTAGGCAGAAATTGTCCCGAATAAGTCCTTCCACTCCAGCAATACCTGGATTACCTTTGCCACAACATCCTTATTTAATTTAACCCACTAATTTGGAGGATATTTCTAGACAATAAGGACAATTTGTTTATCGTTACCGAGTGATCTTAAATCTGACACATCATTAATAACTCAATTCTGTGTTGCTTCTTAGAATTCACTTTTTAAAAATAAACAAAATAAATAAATAAACTTTAACAATGGGAAGAAAATACACCGGAGAGAATTTCAAAAATAAATAAAAAAATTAAGTTGTAATTTTGGTAAAATTTTTGAGATATAATTGTACATTATCATGCTAAAAAATAAAAATAAAAAAAAACAATACAAGTTTAAAGTTAAATCTCAATGACATAATTAAATTTTTAATAGAACAACTTGATTTAATCATAAATCAATTTAAATTTTAATTACATTAAAAAATTAATTTGGATTTAATTAAAAGATTTAATTAAATATAAAAACTTAATTATACTTTAAGAGCTTAATTTTCAATTCAACCTTTAATTTGATGAATTTCAGCAACATCATTTACATTTATTTTTTCAGTTTAGTCTTTAATATCAAATTAAAAAAAAAAAAACAACTACTTTATATATATATATATATAGGAACAGGACCATAGCAATTTATAAAAGACTTAGCATTGCTGCCTTTATTTTCATGCGTGGATTCCTGTTCCACGAATTCCTCCCTAGAATACCATTGGGAAAAGAGTTCTACACGTCTCCATAGCCCAACATCAACAAGAAGAGGGTCAGATGGTGACTGAGGTTATCCGCGCGCGCGCTCATTATTTTTCAGGAAGGTCAAGAAAAAAATTGTTATTTGTATTCTTATTAGATTGATAATAATATTTATTGGCAACAATTTATGAAACCATAGTTGGCTTCAAGGCTATCTAAATGACTTAAAAAACTGCGCGTGATGATGTGTTGTGTTGGAAAACTAAGAATAAATAATTAGATATTAATTTATTTGGATTAATTCATAATTTATAAATTTTAATTTTTTTTATAATTAAAATCAGAATCAAATAACTAACAAATATAAAATAATAATCACACAAATTAACATCAAGATTTTTTACGTGAAAAATTCGATGCGGAAAAAACCACGGGACCGTAGTCCACTTAAAAACCTCTACTATCAACAAATAATAGGTTCATAACTATTTTTGCTTAGATTCAATTAAGGGCCAAAATATACATATTATCAACAATCTATTCTTGGAATACAACAAAATTAAAAAGAGAAATATTTTAGAAAAGCTTATAACATTAACAACCCCGTTTTCTGTTAAACTGGTCAATTTTTACACCATTAATATTCGATCCAATCATTTAGAATCAAGAATAATATGTCTAGAAATTATTGTCAATATCTTAACCCGATCTTAACCCGATATAACAGTAAACAAACTAGAAATCCAAGAATAAAAACAACCAATTTAGCTGTATAAACTTCTTCTCTTTCTTCTTTTTTTTTCTTTTTTTTTTGTTTGTAAAAATTACTATTGCATCTACTATATAGCTATATTTAAAATAAAAAAATAACTCATAATAATTAATGTGATGGTCCCCGGTACCGCACACAACATTTTGTAATTTCTAAAATTATAATTAAGGTTATTATTGTCGGTAGCATCTGAAACTATTAGAGAGAAATGCCAATAGCTAGCAGTTTAATTGGATGTCATGATGGCTCCCTGTATTTGTAATCGCCTACTTGTAAAAAAGCATCTTGCTCAAATTGGAATGCAATTCCATGTTATAGAAAAATTCAATATTAATTCGATAATTACGTTGGTTTACTTGAAAGTATACTTACATGAGAACTTCTCAGCTTATAAAATTGCAATTAAAATGACTAGGCTACTGTTGTTTTCAAGATAGGGTGGTGCAACATCATCTTAGTATATGTTGTATCATATAAATTTCATAAGCTCTGACATATATAGAAAATGACCTAGTTTGTGTTCTAGTCCAGCGATTTTCAACTCGTTTTATTATGATGATATTATTAATGATTTCCTTGTATTATAAAACTACATTGTGCATTAATTATTTACTTAAAAATATATAAAATATTTTTTTAGATTTATTTATTTATTATATCAATGTATCAAAATTTAAAAAAAAAACACTTCAAAAATATTATTTTAATTTTTTAAATAAAAAATAATTTTAAAAAACATAAACAAAATCATAAAATTATGCCAAAAACTCTCTTAATAAGCGAGAGCCTCGTGAAACATGGATTGCTGCCAATAAATTTTCTGGTAAGTGGATGCCTCATGGCACCCATATTGGTACCCCACCTAGCAAGCTTTGATCAATAAAAACACTCTTCCGGTCCTTCTAATTTGATTGTCTGTATTTCTTTTCTAGAGATGTACTAGTTTACAGCCACGAGTAATATGCTTAGGGTCAATTTTTTGTTTTTTTCTTTTTGAAGTAATTACAGGTATAATTTTGAGAGCCTAAAATTAAAAAAGTATATCTATATAAATATTTGATTTTTATTAAATATATAAATGAATATAATTTTTATTTAAAATATTCTTATCAAAAAATAAGACAATCTTATGATTATTTTTTTGAATTTGATATATAATAACTTGATTTATTTATAAAATCAATTCTCAATCTTGATTTATAAATGATTGATTAGAACAAAATTTCTCAATCTTGCTCCATTAGGATCCAAAAAATTACGTGATTGGTGGGTTCCATGCAGGAAAGACAACCAAGTCTCCTCTAAATAAGACATTAAGTCAATGTTAGGAATTACACGGCATCTTCGTGTCTCCTTCACTTGCTAATGTTTTTCAATTAAACAGAAGTTATGAAGGTTTTGGTCGGTGCGATCAAAAGTTAAAGTAACAAAATCTAAAATATATATATATATATATATATATATATATATATATATATATCAACATCCTTAAAATGAAGCAAAATACTCTTTCATATATAATATCTCTTATTCATTGTTGCAATCCAAATTTAAATCAATTCCTCTAATAATATTTCACACTTGCGAATACATTTCAAGTTTTTCATTCTATATCTCATGCAAACAATCAATCAACCTTACCTTAGCAGCAAACCAAAAAAAAAAACATATTTCAAATTTATGGAAATTGATTAATAGATAGAAATGAGATCATCAAGCTTCATTCTAGTTTAATTTCGCTTGCTGCATATCTTCCTAATTTCACCCTGGGATCCAGTAAGAGGATCAATATCTCCCATCTTAATCATGGCTGTGACGAAGTCAGATCTGAAGGTTTTAGGATTGCGGCTGTAGGTTCTAACCAAAGAATCTGTTGATCCACCATTAAACAGAACTTGATCAGAATGAAGAAGACCCTTTTGGCTGATGAGATTCTTGTAATATTTGTTGTCAAATGCTGTAGGAGTTTGGACATCCAGGGGTGCTAACTTGTTGTCTCCTTTTGGTCCAGGAAATGGACAGTTCTTTTGCCTAGTGGTAGCAAATGAACTATCAATGTTGGTCTCATTGTATATGCGTGCTCTAAAGCTTGTACACCTTGCTTGCCCGATTGTGTGGGATCCTGGTACCAAAGTTGAACAGCTTTAGAATGAAGCATTTATGTTATAAAAAAGATTGTAATATATAGATATTTAACAATGGTAACAATATTTACTTACCATTTAATTAGTTATTGTTTCAAAACAGAAAAAAAAATAGAAACAATGACGACAAAAGTATCATGTCACCTTATATTTTCTACTTAAGATATACAAAAATTCAATTCAAAATTTTCTTTAGAAACAAATTTATTCTATATTTTTATCTCTATTTCTTTAATCAAACAAATTTTTTTCTTTCTTTCTTTTTTGTCTTTAGTCAGCACAAATTAAAGCCAAGAAAAACAACCAAAAGTTCGCAATCAAACGTACCTAAATTATAGTAATCTTATTGAAGATATTTCTTGGGAAAAGCTCTCAAGCACTGAATTGAACTTCATAGGATCCATTAGTATTAAAGTGGATTCAGTCATCCGATGAATGAGATATTTTGAAAACTGATTTTCGGAAGACTATTCGGCATAATTAGCATATATATTACTCGATTGTGTGTGTGTGTGTGTGTGTGTGTACGTACCGGATAAGGCAACCATGTCCTTGACTGAGAGGCCTTTACTTTTAAACCGATTGATGAGGTTGCTAAGCGTAGAAGTTGGAGGAGGGATGACCCCACTGTTGGCAGCAGAAAGGCTAGCTGTCTTTGAATCCCTTCTTCCAAGTTTTACATTCCAAAATGGACCTCCAAGCTGCAAGAAATTAACAACAGTCTCAACGAAACATTGAACAAAAAAACTAGAGGAAATGGAAGGAACTTTCGATTACTTACAATCACAGTAGAGTCACGAGCAGCAATGGCTACGATATCAGCACATGAAACTACGCCTGGGCAGACTTTCTCCACCCGAGACTTAATCTTGGCAACAACATTAAATCCCCTCACAGAATTATTATTTGGACGTGCAGTTTGTTCTCCAGTGAAAGAGGAAGTATCCTCCAGAAGTATTGACCCATCACAACCCTGTCAGAAAAGTAAATAAATTTTCCCAGAATGTTAATTCTTACAAGTAAATAATTAACTCTAGAGAGAGAGAGAGAGAGAGAGAGAGAGAGGTTTTTTTGTGTTCCTAACACATATATTACTCATACTTGTGATCATCATAAAAATCTTTCTATATATTTTACTCTTTTCACTAAAAAAATACACTTTATGTGATTCAGTTAAAGAAAATAAATCAAATTTTACAGAAGTCATTATAATTCGAAGTAATGGAAGAAAGAAATCCATACAAATTAACATGTATGATCTTGGACGACCAAAGTTAATGCTAGCCTCCTTAGGAATTAGGGAGCTGAGTAAAAGTGAATTGATGTAACAAATGAGACAAGGAAGGAAAAGTGAAGAAGTGTCAATCACGTCATGATTTCAGCACATCTATATAATTGTACTAAGTTTGTTTTTTACTATAGAATTCTCTTGCCTTTTCTGTTCATGATAAGAAACACATATTTTATGCACAGCAGTCCCTTTCAAGATCGAATTGTGTTGGTCACATTATTCGCCAATATAAAATCCTTTCCGACAAAAAATTACCCATGAGTGATAGTTTTTACTTTTTGATGTTTTTTAAAGTAATTTTATATTAAAAAATATTAAATTAATAGCTAGCTAATGAGGGGTCTACTAGCTATTAGACTTGTGGTTAGTGTTGTGGTTGATTTTGAAAGAAGAAATTCGAAGGATTTAAAGCCATGTAAGAAACCACCTAGCAAAGTAAGCAAGGAAGAGTCAAGTAGAGAGAGAAGGAGAATTACTTTAACAAAACAATCATGAAAGAACAAGCGAACAAGAGAAGCACCCATCCGGCGCTCTTTCGACACTGCAGATTGAACAACAGATTTCACTACGCCGAAGACTTTTGGACAACTCTTGGAGTAAAAATTTGTTGAGAGTTTAGCTGAGGAGTGACTTGTGAAGATCACAAGGAAAGCTAATGTGAGGATGACCATATAAGAAGAAAAGCAACTAGGTCTAGCCATTTTGCTACTTTGCTACAATGGCTCCTAAGCAAGCTTCTAGTTGAGTGTGTTGAGCTCAAGATGGTGGAAAGGTTGGGTTATATATAGGAGGTTAACGGAGGCTTTTCTTGGCAAGGCAGGCAACCTAATCTAAAAATGAAATGACGGGGTAAAAAGAAAGACTACTACTAGTACTACATGCATGGCATGGTATGCCATTTTCTACGTCTAGGCCAAAAAAAGCAGACAAAATACATTGATTCGTTACGACCTTGATTTTGATTGATTGATAAAGAACACTCCTCCGTCTAAGAACACGTTCACGTGAGTTGAACTAGTCGAAAAGTTGATGTAGCTAACACCAAACTTGTCAAAATTAAATAGGGTCCATTGTTAATAATTATGATTATTGTTTCCCTTGGAATCTAATCTAGGTTTTGCTTGGACGCCATGCTTGTGTGGACAATAATAACCTGGATAAAACATTCATTTGAATTGTTGGTGTTTTGACTAGTCATCAGATAAAACTTACTGGTTGGTAGGATATAAAAGTTATGCCGGAATCCCCAATTAAGGTGACAAGGTTGAAATTGTAGAGTTCAATTATGATATATATTACCTCCAAGATTTAATTTGAAGGAGTTGATGAAATTGGAGGAATAATTAGCTTCTATGAGTTGAATTAAAATCTTCTTAAACAATAAATATAATTGTTCAAATCATATAGAATTACTTATTATTTTTATTAAAATCTGTCAATTTGATCAACCTTGAACCTTCAAATTATATTTCCGTATTTAAATCTTTTGTTTATCAAAAAGAAAAACAAATCATGGATATTCCATTACTATAATCCATTTGATTTTAATATTTTTTTCAATATAAATATATTATCACTATAAATATAAATACGAAATATTAATAATTTAATAGTTTTCTCAATATAAATTAATATATTATCACAGAAAACACTTTTATCATACTACCAGGTGGGCAAGCACGTGTTTAGAGTTGAATTTTTGATTTTAAGTCTAAACTCCACTGTGTCCTTGTTAATTTCATTTAATGTCTCTCCTTCTTTCAAGAGGTAGAAGTTCTCTTCTCTCTTGCGACGCCTGTAACATAACAGTATTAGCCATCAGAAACTTTTGACTACCAACAAGGGCATAATTGTGTTTTACACAGACTGCCAGTTGGCACCAGCAATATGGCAACATATATTCTAGGTTTTTCCTATGTTTTTAGTTACTTTTCTAAAGTCTTTTTAACTGATAAAAAATTATTTTTTTGATATTTTTTATGATTTTAATATATTATTAAAAACTGAAAAAAAATATTTTTATATATTTTTAAATAAAATATTATTTTAAAAAATATTATACATCACAAACTTAAGTACCCGGAACCAAAATTTAGATACAATAAGACTCCTTATTTTATGCTCAATCAAGAATTTTGGTTTTCATCTTAGTAAAAAATTATATGATAAAATAATATAATATAAAAAAAATATTTAAAAAAATAATGTAATTTAAATATTTACAAATGATATATGTGATTTCACAAGTATAATTTATGATTTTTTTTAATTGCATAATTAACAGACACATGATTTAATAAAGAAAGAGAAAAAAAAAAGAAAAAATTTCAAAAACAAGTCAAAACTTTAATTATGACATTATCAATATCATTGAAAATATATTAATAAGACAAATCCAACAAAGCACATCAATAATAATCATAGTAAATCACATAAACGGCATAATAATATATTTGAATAGTGACTCTTTTTGATATCATTAAATTTATCTAGTTGAGATCTTTCTAATATTATTGATGATGTCATCATTAAAGTTTCGATATATTTTTAGGATTTTTTTCTTTTTTTTATTTTTTTTTTATTAAATAATATAAACATTGATTTTATAATTTAAAAAAGTCACAAGATATCATAGTTACAACCTGTATAAATATTATCTATAACTTTTTAAATTGCACTATTTTTTAAAATATTCTTTACACTGTATTATTTTATAATGTTTTTACTAAGCTAGAGTACAAAAATAGTCGATTATCTGCATGTTGTTAATAAGCTTCAATTTGTCGTTTTATTATTGTGAACAGTTTTGTGTTTTAGTTTCAGTTGAAATGAAAGTGCTTCGCAAATAAAATAAGAAAATTACTAACCTCATTAATTACAAATTTCATATGAAAAAATTATTTTCATTGGGAATTCTAAATTAAAGGAATAAAAAAAAAGAAAAGAACGATACAAGCCTTGTCAGGGGAACTAGCAAGCTAGATGCCATATGCGAGGCATCCTTTTCACTTGCCGACATATTGATTTATCAAAGATAACAATTACCAAAAGAAAGGCAGTATTTATGATTTAATTTTCTTATCTTAATCAACAATTGCATCTGATTTGTATAATAAGTACGTGAAGAAAAGTCAGAACCTACTCCTTGACAAATTATCTGCTTAAGATTCCAACATTTTTCCCAACAATTTAAAAATATTAATTTAATTTCACTTTTTAAAATTAATATGGCCTACAATAATTAGTCCTTGAGCTTATATGAAATGGCAACGCACATCTTAATTACTACATACCCAGTAAGAGTACAGCCAAGGAAAATGATTAATTGGCCCCCTTTTTTTTTTGAAAAAAAAAACAATAAAGGTATTATTCAACAAGTTTTCATGTGGAAAGTTTGTTTGTTAAAGTGTTTTTGAAATTATTTTTATTTAAAAAATATTAAATTAATATAATTTTTAATGATTTTAATATGTTAATGTTAAAAATGAATAAATAAAATTATAAAAAATATTATTTTAATATATTTATATTAAAAAAACACCTTCAGCCAGCAAATTCCCTTTGTAATTTCACTTTAGGTGAACATGTCATGTAAAACATTTTCTTGCATGCTCTCTCTTAAACTAAACTAAACTCACCGACAATAACTTCATTGTCTAGTGTGTTCAAAAAATAAAAATAATGCAAGTGTGTTCCATGCTTCAAATAGGAAATTAGTTAAAACGTACCCTTCAAATTATTGCCGGCGGCTCTTCCTCGCAAATAGTCAAGGAACTGTTTCAAAGTCAATGAATTTAAGTACAATTGCTCGCAAAGCTGCTAAGGATTTGGTAAGAACTGTGAACATTGTCAAAACAAGATGCTGCCTCATCTGCCAGAGTTCCTCAGTTGACGAGCATCATTAACCTGCAAAAAAAATAATGCAAGGTTGTCGTACAAATCTCGTTTTGACCCTCCACAAGAACCCATTAAAGAAAATCTTCCTTCAGGTAAGACAGTGGGAATCACAATTTGGGAACTCCTCTTGTTCATGTATCAAGCCTTGAATATTACGGGAGTAATTTGGTCTGATATTTAAGCAATGAAGGTTCTTATCGCTGTCAATATACGTGAAATCTCACCATACGGCCATGGTTTGACAAGAGGGGCTTGAAACTCCATGTCCATTTATTGGGAGCCAACAACTTGATTTAATTAGGTTTACCAATTGCATTGGTTTATCTTATAAAATAATTCATGGCATGGGAAAGAAATTGGAACACGTCAGGAATCTTGACGGATGAAAACAGTGACCAAACTTTATTTAATTTAAATGAGGATTAGGGGAGTAGTAGATGGGGGGATATGCTATTTTAATGGAGAATCCTCATCCATCTTCCACGATTATATATTTTACAAGGTATCATAAATTTAATTAACTAAAAAAAATCAACTCAATCTCTTTTATAATATAGAAATTCTCTATATCTAAAACGAGTTCTTAATGAAGGGATTGTTGACTTTGACCCTTAAATTAAAGATATCAAATGAGCACAAGTAGTATAGGAAGGTTCACTCTCAAATTGCTTCACAAAATTTCAAAGCTTTTAATAAAAATAAAGGATAACATCTCCAACCCGAACCTAGTTAATATCTTAAGATACAAGGGATGTGTTCAAAAGGGACAAAAGCGTGTTTGGTTAGAGAGATAAAAGCAAAGATATAAAACAAATTTATCTTTAGGACAGTTTTAAAGTGAATTTCTTTTTTTTTTTTTCAGAATGAAAAATACATGAGGATATGTTTCCTCTACCTCTATCTATTTTTTCATAAGACAATAACAAAAAAATTATTTTGTATAGTGTTTATTCTTGAGACAAAATATATAGAAATAGTATGATAGAGAGAACATTTCTTCATCTATTTTATTTTGAAAATACAAAAATTCATTAAAAAAACTATTATATAGATAAAAATCTCTATCTCTTTTGTGTTGAAACATTAGTAAAAAGCAACTTTACTATTAACAAAAACTAAGCCTCGTAGGGGAATCATTATAGCACTTTTCATTGTTTATCCTTAATTTTACAAACCATTTTGGATTTGAATGGCGATTTTTTTAAAATTTTAGTTAGTTCTCAAACATTTTTTGGCACAATTGAGCTAAAATTAACACTTAATTATATATATATATATTTTTTAAGAAAGGGTTAAATTGAAAAATACGAACTAAAATGTGAAGGGTGAATAAAATAGATGGTGTGTTAGAATTTCATTGGAAAACTCATTTTAGTTCTCCATTTATTTTTAGCTAATAGGTAGTTAATCTCTTTAATTTCTTGAAATTCAATTTTAGCACCAAACTTCATTTCTCTTGTTTTTTAGTCCATTATTTGTGAGAGGAGAAAGAGAATTTCGTTGAATTCTAGTATAGAGAAAGAAATTTATTCTTGTCATGATTCCACCATAAAAATAATCAATTTTTATATTAATGAGTTTTATTTTATTAGAGTTCACCCTAAATGGTTGCTTTCCTTCTCCTTACCTGAGGGTAGATTTGGCCATGATAATAATTTTGTGTAAGGTTGATTTTGATTTTTTTGAGCTATTTTTTGTGACCATGGATATGACTATCAATATGTTTATAGTATTTTAGGTCAAAAATAGATTGAAAATAAATTTTAAATAAAAAAACTAAATTTTTGATTTTCTAGTGACTAGAATCTACATAAAACAAACAAGAAGTCATCTTTTTTTAAAATAAAAAAAATGTCACCCATCCCTTTTGGAAAT